CCCCCCTCCGTTTCCCTCTATATATTCCTCCCTTATAATATATAAATATATAAATATATATTTATTTATAAATAAATAAATATATAAATAAATAAATAAATAATTATATATATTATTTATTATATATATACATATAATAAATATTATATTTATATGTATATAATAAGAGGGGTCCTTATCTATTCATTATTTATTTTATTTATTTATTTTATTTATTTATTTATATTTATTTATTTTATACATAATAAGTAAATTAATAAATAATATATACGTATATATATGTACATATACATGTGTATAAATACGTACATATATACAAATATATATGTATATGCGTATATATATACATGTATATATATGTATATATACATGTATATATGTATATATATAAATATATACATATATATATTATATATATGTATATCTTTATGTCTTAATAGACAGAGGGGAGACAAAGGGACTGTCTCCTTTTTGTACCCTTCTTGCTGCTGCTGCTGCTGCTGCTGCTGCAGCAGCAGATAAAAACAAGGTGTCTCCTTTCTCCTGCTGCTGCATGCATTTACGTAATTTATATAAGGAGACAAGGAGACAGAATATTATATATATACTGTCTCCTTTCCTTATATATACCTTCTCCTTTTTCCTGTCTCCTCCCTCCTGTCTCCTTTTTCCTGTCTCCTTTTTCCTGTCTCCTTTCTTGTATAGGGATCTGCATCTTTTTTATTTATATTTATAAATATAAATATAAATAATTATTATATACATATATATATTTAATTGTCTCCTTTTTTATTGTCTCCTTTTTTATTTAATTGTCTCCTTATTTATTTAATTGTCTCCTTTTTTATTTAATTGTCTCCTTTTTTATTTAATTGTCTCCTTATTTATTTAATTGTCTCCTTTTTTTATTTAATTGTCTCCTTTTATTTATATAAATATAATAAAAGGAGATAGATGTCTCCTCCTTATTCTTATACAAGAGGGACTTATTAATAAGGTGTATATAACTATACAGGAAAAAAGAATAAATAAATAAATAAATAAATAAATAAATAAATAAATTAATTAATTAATTAATTAATTAATTAGTTAATTAGGGAGAGGAAAGGAGACAGTGCTGCAGGTACCTAGATGCATGCAGCAGCAATAAAAAGGAGACACTTTTATATACTTTTTCTTGCTTAATAAAAAGGAGACACTTTATATATTTAATTTAATTAATTAATTAATTAATTAATTAATTAATTAATTTATTTATTTATTTATTAATTTATTTATTTATATATTATTAATATAAATATTTCCTTAAGGAATAATAATTCCTTTTCTTTTCTAAAGAAAAAAAGGGGAGAAAAATTCGTAAAAAATAAGTTGCTACTAAAATAAAGCCCCAAATCCATGCATGCATGCATGCATGCATGCATGCATGCATGCAGATACAATAAGCCTTCTGCTGTGTATATATACTAGTATAGTTGAAGAGAGCAGCTTCTTCTTCTTGCTGCTGCTTTTGCTGCTGCTGCTTGCTGCTGAAGACGCTGCTGCTGCTGCTGCTGCTGCTCCTGTTGCTGCTGTTGTTGCTGCTGCTGTTGCTGCTGCTGCTGTTGCTGCTGCTGCTATATATTCCTTTAAATTATAATTAAAAAGGTTACTGCAGCAAGAAAAAGGAAGAAAATTATTTGTCTCGTCCCTTGTTGCTGAGGTGTATGTACACCTGCCTCGCTTGTCGCCTCCAGCCCCGCTCTTATTAGTCATTTTTTCTTATATATCCAGCAGCAGCAGCAGCAAAAGCAGCAGCAACAGCAGCAGCAACAGCAACAGCAACAGCAGCAACAGAAGAAGCAGCAGAAGCAGTAGCAGCAATTGCAGCAACAGCAGCAATTGCAGCAAAAGCAGACTTTGTAGTTGCTGCTGCTGCTGCTGCTGCACCGAGAGCACCGTAGCTTCTTATCTATACAGCAGCAGGAACGTGTTGCTGCTGCTGCTTCTCTAAACCCTACTAAACCCTAAACCCTCATAAACCCTAAACCCTAAACCCTAAACCCTAATCTTCTTGTGGCGGCAATGACGAGTAGCGGCAGCAGCACAGGAAAGGCATCAGAGGCTAAGGATAATACGTCCGAATCCTCAGCAGCAGCAGCAGCAGCAGCAGCAGCAGCAGCAGCAGCAGCAATGGATCCTAAGGATAAATATATACAAATACTTACTACTTCTCTTATTCTTATAAGAGATGCAGTAGAGACACAAGACAATCGTTATATGCTGCGCATGCTGCGTAGATATAAGCAGCTAAGACTGCAGCAGCAGCAGCATCCGCAGCAGCTGCTGCAGGTATGCTCTCTTGTTTTATGGGGACAACAAGAGCAGCAGCAACAACAGCAGCAACAGCAGCAACAGCAGCAGCAACTGCAACAACAGCAGCAGCAACAACAGCAGCAACACTTGCAGCAGCAGCAACAACTCGATACCTCCAGCAGCAGCAGCAGCAGCAGCAGCAGCACTAATAAGTTCCACCACCCCACACACCGCAGCAGCAGCAGCAGCAGCAGCAGCAGCAACATGATTAGCAAGGAGTCTCTTTCTTTCTGGTTAATTATAAAGGAGACACTTGAGGAAATTATTAAGGAAAGAGAAGAAGAAGGAGAAGCAGACATGGAGACTGATGAAGTAAGCTAAACCCTAAACCCTAAACCCTAAACCCTAATAAACCCTAATAAACCCTAATAAACCCTAATAAACCCTAAACCCTTAATTTTTGTATAGGTAATAAATAATAAATTGTTGTTTGTTTTTATGTGAATCGCAGCCCAAGCAGCAGCAGCAGCAGAAGGAAGGTGGTGCAGCAGCAGCAGCAGCAGCAGATACAACAACAAAAACAACAACAACAACAACAACAACAACAGCAGGAGCAGCAGGGAGCAGCAGCAAGATACTCCAATCCTTCCGTGCATCTTCTTTCCTTTGTTGTCTGCCTGAAGTAGAAATCTTCTTAGCAACATTAGTGTTGCTGCTGCTGTTGGATCCCCGTCCCCATCAGCAGCATCAGCAGCAGCAGCAGCAGCAACAGCAGCAGCAGCAGCAGCAGCAGCAGCAGCAGCAGCAGCAATGGGAAAAAGCATGGCTATTTAGCTGCTGTCTTATAAATAGAGTTAAACAACATGATAGAAGATCATTAGATAGATTAGCTGCTAAGGCTTGGTTCTATTATGATAGAGCATTACAGCTATCCAAGAATAAATTCGATCCAAGAGCGTAAGGGTTTAGGGTTTAGGGTTTAGGGTTTAGGGTTTAGGGTTTAGGGTTTTTAGGGTTTAGGATTTTTAGGGTTTAGGATAGAGTTTAGAGATATGGTTCTATTGTGATAGAACACTACAACTCTCCAAGAATAAATATTATTCAAGAGTGTAATAGGGTTTAGGGTTTAGGGTTTAGGGTTTAGGGTTTTTAGGGTTTTTAGGGTTTAGGGTTTTTTAGGATTTATGGTTTTTTAGGGTTTAGGGTTTTGGGGGTTTAGGATACATATAGTTTAATGGTTTTAGAGTATCTAGGGTTTGGTTTATAAATTATTTAGTTTACCTAGGGTTTAGTGTTTAGTTAATCTAGGGTTTAGGGTTTAGGGTTTAGGGTTTAGGGTTTAGGTATAATAATTGGAATAATAAATTTTTTTTTTTGCGTCATAAGGAGATAAGAGAAATAAAATAAATAGTGAATAATATATATATATATAAAATATATATATAT